TATATATATATATATATATATATATATATATATATCTTAAAAAGATATGAGATGGAAGAAGGGCGGCAAACTTTAATGGGTGTTCTAAGTCCCAGTACATGGCTGCATAGCTATATGTTTTTGCAATGGTTGTGGTCGTGTGGGCTATGGGTAATACCGTAATTGCATGATGTGTAAACACCTGGAAATGAATATATGTTTGTGCATATACACACAAATTATTGTGTTTTCTTACTTTAATAGACTTTTGAAGTGTGGACTCATAACTAAAGTAGGAATCAGGGAGATTGTTGATGTTAAAGACCACAGGAAGAAGAAGGGTTATAACTGAAAAAGATTCATTTTATTATTCCCCTTTTTTTAGACATAAGCACTCGGTTCTACATCATATGTAATAATATATATTATTAACTGTACATAATGTTTGTGTGTGTTAGATTTGTAGCTTTACTGTGTGGTCCAAAATAATTCATTCATTTGTGCATTAATTCAATGACAAAAAAGAATGAATAAAAAATATGGTAAAATAAAGAGAAAAAAAAGAAAAGGCCCTAACATTATTGGTAATAATAATGATAATATTAGTAAAATAAAAGAAGAAATTATGTCAATACAGGGTTTATTGATAATAACAATGGCAGTAAGATGATGATATGCAGTGTAATGATATCAAGAAACTAAATATCCCTTCCTTTTTATTAGTGTTGCACCGATACAAGTACCAGGCAGGGCCCCGATACAGCACTAAATTGGTAGTATCGATAGTATGGATATTGTGAGAGGAAGAAAAGTCAGAATTCTGAGATTACAGTCAGAATTCTGATTGTTTTCTTATATAATACAGAAATAAAATTACAAAATCAGTTAACTCTTTTAATTTTTTTCAGTGGCCCTAATCCTCTTCCGTATTTTCCATGATCCCTTCAATCTGTAGTAAAAAATCTTGCTTTGTCCTATTTCATTGGTTCTACACCCCCAGCCCGGTAGGTGGCGGTAAATGCCACTATAGTTGGTTTGCAAACCTCTGAGTTAATACTAAAGAAAAAAAAACACTCTGCACTCGATTGCTCTCCCCTTCCCTGGAGCGGATGCCAGAGCCAGGGTTGCCGCTGATGCAACCTGCTGACAGGTCCGCTCTCAGCCGGCTGCTTCTCTTCTCCACCATTCATTTCAAGACCACAGACTTATAGGTAAGCTGCCAACCTGTTGTTTTAAAGAAAACCGATTGGAATATTTGATAAGTGAAGCTAACGTTAGCCGAACAAATATCAAGTTTCTGTCACCGTTTCGGTATTGTTAGCTGCACATGGTTTTGCTGCTAACTAGCTGAAGTCTTGTCTTTTCCACATTCATTCATAATTTTACCGACTTGTGTTATTTTTCAAAGTGGAGGCAGTTAAACAAACAGAGTCTAATAAAGTATAAAACAAAATAGATCATTTAGTGTTGATTCATAGCTAAATGTTGAAGGTGTGCGTCATCATTCTCTGTTTGATCCTGCTGTTACTACAGTAAGATCAGGATCAGGATGTTTTAATGTAGTAAACAAAGAGAGCTGTTGTTTTAAATGATTTATTATCAGACCAGATGAAGGAATCTAACTTCTAAACCATCTTTCTGATCAGAGATCCCAGAACCATGGCTGATCAGCTGAGTCCAGAGGAGAAGTTCACCCTCATCACCAGGAACCTGCAGGTGAGCCCTCCCCCTCATCATGTGTCTGCATCCATCGGTCAGTGTCTTCATTCTGGGGCTGGTGGATGTTGCAGGAGGTCCTCGGTGAGGAGAAGCTGAAGCAGGTTCTTCAGGAGAGGGAGCTGAAGGTGTACTGGGGTACAGCGACCACCGGCAAACCGCATGTGGCTTACTTTGTCCCCATGTCCAAGATAGCAGATTTCCTGAGGGCCGGATGTGAGGTGAGAGCAAAGTATTGGACAAATACAGTTCACTTTTTATGTGATGGACCATTAAAGGGAACATATTTCTGCAGGAGGAGCTCCATGTCTTTCAGGGTGTGTCTCTTTTAGTCTTATACTTCTAGATGGATTTGTTTTTTCCCACATTCTGCTTTACAAAAAGGCTCAACCTTATTTAACCTTGGTGTGAAGTGTCTATCAGCATAGTTTATAAAAACATTCCCACAGCATGCTGCTGCCACTCCCATGTTTCCCATTGAGTGTTGGTATGTACAGGAGCATTGTTTGAAGCATGGAATAATTTTGACATTTAAATTGTTTTCTTTTTTTATTTTGACTGCTGATTTTCAATTTTATAAAAATTTTTTTGTTTTAAGTATTTTTTAGCTAGTTTAGTTTTTATAATATATAGCCTAGTAAACTAGCCCCACCGGCCGAAATAATTTTTGCCTGTGAATTTGATTTAGCCTAGCTCAATGCCCCAGGCCCTAGAACTGATGGTCCAATCACAACACAGAGATGTGTTTTGAATTTCTGGATGCAAAGCGGGTGTGGTTTTGAGGGCGACTAAGCTGCACGACGCTGGAGAGAGCATAACAAGGAAGATGGCAACCACTATTGAACATTTATCGTATGACTCGGCTTTGGAATCTGTTTTGAAGGATTAGACTTGAGGTTTTCGTTGAAACGTGAGCAGGAAGAGGCTCTACGCTTATTAATTTTTAAGAAGGACGTATTCACCGTTTTACCGACAGGCTGTTTGTTTACACTCCCCCACCAGCTTTCTGTGGTGCTTACTACATCACAGTCAGTTGCGCTCATTGGTCAGAGCATTGGCCAATCAGCACAGACAGGGTTTGAAAAACATCGGGTTGTTCTCATCAACAATATTCGGATGTCTCATTCATCAGGGCCAGACTAAATTACACATTTAATCTTACTTTTACTCTGGTTTATTAGGCTATTTAATGTATATAAAAAGAAATAAAATCTCTAATGAAGATAGAGCGCTGCAGTAATTCAAATTACCTGACTGCTTTACCTGCCTGTAGTACAGCAAAAGAAAGCAAAAACGGCAACCAGAAACTGGATCTCATATTAATGCATTATGATAAAGACACAAACTAAAACCAAAATCATTCTATCAGTTAGTTTAACTACGTTTTTTCAATTTTGTTACAGTTTTTATTAGGGGTTGGACGATATATTAAATACTCAATGTATCTTGAGTTTCCCCAAGCATGATAGTTAAAGCATCTCTATCGCAACCAACCTAAACTCGCATGACGACATTAAACTGACTGCTTCTATTTCACTGAGAGTATAATTTTTCCCACAAACTTTGAATGAAATATAAACCCCTCCTCCAAACAGGATTATTTTCTGCCTAACAAGCACACTACGGCAACCAGCAAACACAATATGGTGACAGCAGGTCACAGCAGATTTTCCTGCTACTGTTTGGAGAAACTTCTAAGGTGGTTTTACTAAATAAAACCTCAAAATCATGTTTCAATAGATCCTAATATTTTATTAGATAAAAACTACATGTGGTTACCAGCTAATCAGGGCCCACATTAGTTTATTATCAGTTTCAGTTTCAAGTCTTTTTAACCACAAAATAATACGATAATTACTCAGATCATGTATGCTTCTGTATTAATTTATTAAAAAAGAAATGAGAAATAAAGAAAAAGATAGTGCTGACATTGATTACGGTTGTTAAACATAAAAATAAGTCATTCATCGATGGTATTTCATGTTTTTTTCAAAGATTATATTTTCTATAAGATTATATTAAAATCATAGCAGGTCCACATGAAAAACAAACTGAATAAATATGAATAAATATGAAAAAAGGAGCAGTGGAAACGAAGCTACTTTTTAATAGATGGGAAGACGGATGCTGTCGGATCAAAACGCCATGGATCTAATTTGATCGGATGTCGTGCTGACCGCACAATAACACAGACGCACATATGTACACAATAAAAGATCCACAGCACTCTGGTTACAATAGTTCCGTCCAAGACGAGTTATAAGTCTCTTTACAATTTGTTGAGTCTAAAGTCATCAATTCATGATTTAAGTCTGAGTCTAGTCCAAGTTATGCGACTTGAGTCCACACCTCTGGTAACGTTAGCATGTTTGCACATTAAAAAAAACATACGGCTCAGTTTTAACCTTAAATGTTAGATATATAAAAATGTACTTGCCGTGAAAGTGTGCGGGAATCCATGCAAACTTTTAACCTACAGGGAGAAGTTTTAAGCTTTTAGTTACAATATTAATATCTTGAATAACAAAAGTTATTAAGAGGTCTTGCGTGGCTCCTTAAAATCCATAAAAAGGTTGTGAGTTCGCGTACATATTTTTAAATTTCAGGAAAGTGTTTGGAAAAAAGACGCCTAACCTTAAATCCATTTCACACAGATGACGACCTGGTTTGGTTAGTTTCTGTTTCTTCGTGCTGCATTTTTGTGGTTCCACTATGTTGTCAGAGTTGTTAACGGGTGCGTCACAGCAGATGCATCGGAGCGTGTGATCTGCTCTCTGGTAAATTGGCGGACTGCCCGTCACTTTGAATCAGTCACTTTGGGTGCGTTTGATTTCAAAGGCTGCATCCTCCAAGCACCTGGTCAATCAGGACTGGATCCTTCAAGGTCTGGGAAAATAAGGAGATCAGAAGAGTTTGGGCTGTGAATTCAAAAAGATCCAGCCTTCTCCGGCTTTCACTGCCCGTAAGCCCTGTCGCCTAGCAACCGTTACATTTGACACACAAAGCAGGAAAAGAATGGATGCTGAACTTCTCACTACTGTTCTGTGCTAATAACATTTTCTAGGAGCTTCAGCAGCAGAACCGTCATCATGAATATCAGACTTATAGTCCCCACACTGCACAGATATAAGAATCTGTGTTTAAATGTCAGCCTAAACCATTTGCACAGGGACCGATAAAACTTTTTAAAAGAATCATCTGCCACGTATCTGACTCAATAACCTCTTAAACTATTTTCATTAACTTCTGATGAAACTATTCACACACTTGCATTATAATAAACTGCATTTCCAAATTTCACCACTGTTCGGCGCCATTTACATTTTTCCTCTGAGCGCGGAGCAGGCGGCTTGCAACGAATCATGGGATACCCAAGACTACGTAGGATACAGCGTTCCCGTAGTTCAAAAAGGGAGGCTGCAATCGTCGGTAGCATAACGAGAAGTCTTCCGATCTGAACAGGCCTCTGCGCCGCACTATGATGTAATCGGCCGATTAATCTAATCTTAGAGGACCCTGCCGCTGAATTCGAACTCTGCATGAGTCGGCGTGTAGCCTAATGCACGGAGAATAAACCCATACCCAGAATGCAAAGCTTGCCAAAAAAGGCTAGGCTAGGTGGTTGTTAAAGCCATCTGCAGAGCTGCAAATCCACCAAATTAAATCCCAAACAGACTCATCACAAAAATCTGCTTTTGAAATTGGAAGCATGCAGTTCATGTCTTTGGAGGAATAAAGTATTTTACTGTTGGTTCATTAGCTGTTAGCCTACCTTGGCGTGTGCTAAAGACAGATTAAGGATTGAAGGTGACTGAAGATGATACTGTAGATACTGAGGTTTTGTTTCTTCCTACTGCCAACTTTTATTTTGAAAGCTGTTAGCTAGCCTCTATGAGGTCATAGGTTTTCCATCCGCTCCCTCTAATATCCCTCATTACTGTATGTTGATATGAGCATAAAATGACAGCAAAGTATCTGTAGGGTTTGTGGCGGTAAAAAGGCGTAATATTAGTTTAAGGAGCTTCTGTCCTGTGATTTGATCTCATGTTTGTAACCATAGTAACTGTCTCTTCCTGTTTGCCTTCTCCTCCAATCCTCAGGTAACCATCCTGTTTGCAGACTTGCATGCTTACCTGGACAACATGAAGGCTCCGTGGGAGCTGCTGGAGCTCCGGGTGAAGTACTACGAGCAGGTGATCAAGGCCATGTTGGAGAGCATCGGCGTTCCTCTGGAGAAGCTGCGTTTCATCAAAGGCACCGATTATCAGCTCAGCCGGTCAGTCAACACAACACGCCTGGATAAAGCTGGGTTTTAGCCCCGTATGCTAACTATGCCTGCCTCCTTTAACGTTGGACAGAGAATACACCCTCGATGTGTACCGCCTGTCCTCCATGGTGACGGAGCACGACGCTAAGAAGGCTGGAGCTGAGGTTGTGAAGCAGGTGGAGCATCCTCTGCTCAGCGGGCTGCTCTACCCTGGACTACAGGTAAAGATGCCTCTGAACTTCTAATATTTTAGAGCCTCTTTACTACAATTACGATTAATTGATTACTGAATTATTTGAGGTTTATTTCAATAATGGATTAATCTGATGGTTTCAGCCCTGAATGATATGATGTTTCCCAATATCAGCAAATCTCTCCTGATACGTTTTAAATGGTGGATAAATCGAATACACAATTATTATAACACATCTCAGGCATTTAAATACAAGCAACATTTTTCTTGATTAAAAAAAATATATATATAAAGTTAGAAAACCTGCTGGAGCTAGCTTCTAGCATAGAATCATTAATCATTCAGGTATAGATATCCACTGATGTATGGTTAGACCCCTGCTGTCACTCAGTAGTTTCTTTATAAAGCACATTCTGTTGCATGAATGTTCAAAGTGCTGAAATGAAAACCCACAGGAAAAAGACCATGAAATAAGAAATTAAGTGTTTAATAATTAAATAAGAGGAAGCTGATCTTCAAAATAAAAGTCAGAATGAGAGCAGTCTAATTCCATGCTAAACAAGTTGATTTGTAATCTGGATTTTAAACAGTTGAGGGCTTTAGTGCTTTCATAGTTCTATGAGTTTATTCCAGATTAGCGTAGCTTTTAGCAGTAACTAAATCTGCTTCTCCATGTTTGGTTCTGCCAACAGATTTGAGACGCCTGGGCAGCGTCTGTGGTGCATTCAGTGATTTATAGACTAACATAAGTGCTTTAAAATGTGTTCTCTGAGATGTTTGAACTGGGCTGATGTTTAAGTGAGGGCTCTAGCAGCAGCGTTCTGGATCATCCGCAGCTGACAACTTTGTCTCGGTCTAAATGGAGAGTGGTCTGGCTGCAGAGCTGCGCTGTGAGGTCTCCTGGTCTGTTTGGAACCAGAAGTTTATTCAAAGACTTTGAAAGTAAATGTAAAGTTGATTCGAAGCCTTTCTAAAGTAAAAGCTAGCTTCGATAAGCTTCCTGGGAAGCTAGCTTCCTTTTACAAACAAGTGTTGTTCTGCTGGAAACTTATTTATACGTACAATTTTACTCCCCACCAAACTCCTATCTGGAATAATAGATATGTGCTACATAGAAATAAGTCTCTGTGTTTGGATCACTGGATGGAAAAGGGCACTTGGTCTATAAGACTTTTTCTAAATAACTCTGGAGGCTGGCTGCACTATGAGGATTTTTGCTTACTGTATAATGAATAAACTGCTCCTATGCTCAGATTAACACTGTCATAAACTGTAATCCACGTGCTGCATGCTAATCCAGAAGGCTTCGAATACAGCTTCTGGAATAAATTTCCGGTCCTGACGGTGGTGCGGGCCTGTGTCCTGACGGTGCAGGTCTGCAGCCAGACTCTCTTTGCCTCTGAATCCTGAAGCCTGATTGGTGGGTTTTAGCTGCATCACAGAGGCTGTGTTCTAACTTTTAAAAGCTCTTCCTTTAGTCCAAAAACTATTACTGCATTACTAATCAAGGCTAAAGTATCTAGGACTAGTTTGTTAAAACATTGAACCCATCTGTTTTCTTAGGCTTTGGACGAGGAGTACCTGAAGGTTGATGCCCAGTTTGGAGGCGTCGACCAGAGGAAGATTTTCACCCTGGCAGAGAAGGTAAAAGCCTCATCGATCTGGTTTCAGTAGGTAAACACTCCACTGGGTGGCTTTAAGCTGTAAAACATTAAACCGACACCGTTGGTTCCCCTCTTTCCAGTACCTCCCCTCCCTTGGCTATGCGAAACGAGCACATCTGATGAACCCAATGGTTCCAGGACTGACGGGAGCTAAAATGAGCTCCTCTGAAGAAGTAAGGCGTTAGTGAAAGAGCCTAATGAAACGTTTCTAAACATTCAGGGCCAGCACTGATGCTTTGATTTATTTGTGTGTAGGAGTCAAAGATCGACCTTCTGGACTCCAAAGAAGATGTGAAAAAGAAGCTGAAGAAGGCTTTCTGTGAGCCAGGAAACATCCAGAACAACGGCGTTCTCTCTTTTGTTAAATACGTCCTCTTCCCTCTACGAGGAGGTAAAGCGCTAACCCCCCCCCTCCATTTGTTTCTTAATTATGTTTAGCTTTACTTCTATAACCAGACTTGACTCTTGTACTTATGTTTCAGAGTTCTGCATCAAACGGGACCCTAAATGGGGGGGAGATAAGGTGTATACCGGGTTTGAAGAGGTGGAGAAGGATTTTGCAGAGGAGGTGTGTGAAGCTGCACTAAACGCTGCTTTTTTTTTTCCCTTCAATTTTTAGAAATGCTTTCCTCGTATTTTTAGTTGATCCATCCCGGAGACTTGAAGGCCTCGGTGGAAGTCGCCCTAAATCAGCTCCTGGATCCAATCAGAAAGAAGTTTGAGTCTCCTGAGCTCCGGAAACTCACCAACTCTGCTTATCCAGATCCATCCAAGACAAGTCAGCGTTCGACTGATATAAAACGTTAACTCTCCTCCTGCCTGCTCTAAACGGAGCCTGTTTTTATCTGGTTGTTAACAGAAGCAGGAAAAGGAGCTAAAAGCGCCGCAGGAGGCGAAGACGATGAGCTGCTGCCCTCCAGGCTGGACATCAGGGTGGGGAAGATCGTCAGCGTGGAGAAGGTCAGCAGCTTAGCTGGTCTAGGAATGCTGTGGGGGGGGGGGCTCTTTTATAGCGCTGACGTTGCATGTGGAACCTGCAGCATCCAGACGCCGACTCGCTGTACCTGGAGAAGATCGATGTGGGCGAGCCGGAGCCGCGGACGGTGGTGAGCGGACTGGTGGCTTACGTGTCCCAGGAGGAGCTGCAGGACAGAGAGGTGCTGGTCCTGTGCAACCTGAAGCCACAGAAGATGCGAGGGATCGAGTCTCAAGCCATGCTGCTATGTGCCTCAATGTAAGCTACACTTTTAAAGATAAAACAAACTAATATCTCTGTCTTAAAATCCATAGAATAAATAATTGAGATGATTGCATCTGTTAGGTTTGCTTTTAAGCTACCAGTTGTAGCTTAAATGAAGCGTAGGGGAGGATCTGTGATGCTGTGGGTCTGTTTCCCTGAGACATCATAGATTATTGAAAAGGAAAATGTCTTGTCTTCTTTCCAGAGAAGGTGAGCCCAGGCGGGTGGAGCCTCTCGACCCACCGGAAAGTTCTTCGCCAGGGGAGCGGGTCTTTGTGGAAGGCTACGAGTCCGGGAAGCCGGACGACAGATTGAACCCAAAGAAGAAAGTGTGGGAGAAGCTGCAGGTGTGTTCCCGACCTCGATCTGTTCAGCACTCCGATGCAGGAAGGAATGACGTGGTGTGTTCTGTTCCAGGTGGACCTGAACATCTCGGACGAGTGTGTGGCTCAGTGGAAAGACAAAAGGCTGCTGACTAAACTGGGACAGATCACATGTAAGACGCTGAAAGGGGGAAACATCAGTTAGATCCAGAAACCAGACTCCCATCCATCGCCGGAGCCGCTTCACAGATCACCATGGCGACATTAAGCTTCATCTGGATGTTTCTGGAAGGACGCTTCTGACAAAATAGACCAACTGTTTTCATACTTTAATCCTGACTGAGATCAAGAATCTTTAACAAAACAATACGAGTTAAAGTTTGTTACTTATGCAGCTAAATGCAAACAACAGTACATATTTAAGAATGGAGATAAGGAAGTCTGATCCGTTTGCTCTTCTCTAGGTCTAGCTGATAATATCTCAGGGTTCTGAGAGGAGCTTCTAATGTTTGGGGACTTTTTTCAGGTTTAAAAGTGTGGAGTCAGCTGCCATATATGATTGAAAAGGAATGCTTTGAAAGCTTCATCCCATGTATGTAAAGTCAGTATTCTTCAATCTGTCAGACGGTTTTAATTTGAGTGCTGCCCAGAAGTCTTATCATGTTGGAATAAACAAACACATCTGTAAATTGAAATAAACATTGAATCTGAGGGTGACGACTGCGTCGTAATGTGGATGGAGATAAATGTGTGCGCTCCATTAGAAAACGTTATTTATTCAATTCAAAACAGGAAACCTTTCCAGTATAAAGCCAATAAATAAATAATAAAGCCAGTGATGGTTCTGGATCACATTTAGCAGGGTGGGGACCGAAAAAGAATGAAAGAAAAAACAGCAATGTTTATTATTTAAAATATATTCAGTGAACTCCGGAACCAAAAAGCCTGCGGCTCTGCACGGAATGGAGAGAAATTTGGACGTCATTTACTTTAAGTCATTTATTATGGGAGGAAAAAGCAACTGAAATAATTTAGATAAATAATAAGATAATAAAATCTCTAATTCAAAGGGTAATGTTGTCACAGGACCACATGATGTCACTCACCAGTTGGTGAATGTTACCTCGATAGCTCAACATTAGGCCATTAATGCAATGCCATTTTGTTACAAAAAGTAATGGTTAAATGTTAAACAGGATAGTAAATCGGTATTAAAGCTAAAGAAATGACTGAAATATCTTCCTACATTAAAAAAAAGTATAAAAGAAAAACATTTGACTTTGTCTTCCAAATTTGAAGACGTTTCACTTCTTAACCAGAACGCTTTCTGAATTCAAAATGTCTGGAATAGGTTTGAGTTCCAGGCTTATAGATTGGCACAAAGAAACGTCTTGTTATGACTAAGAAAACATGCAAATTGAACCAAAAAACAGGCGAGGCCAGGTGAGATGCTCTGGTCCCCTGCATGGCGATGAGGATTATGAAAGCGGGAAAGAATCAACTTTATCGCTGCATTTTATATTTTGGAGGGCAGGAACCCCCTCTGTTTAAGGTTACCTAGTTTTTCTCTCTTAACATAAATGGCTTCCTTCACACCCCTTTCAAACCACCTGCCTTCTTTGTCCAAAATGTGGACATTCTGGTCCTCAAACGAATGTCAATTCTTTTTCAATTCAGTTTATTAACACATATTCACCTCAAGGCACTTTACAGTTCAACCAGATCATACAGTCAAATTGATTCAAAGTTTCTATCTAAGGAAAGCCAGTTAATTGCATCGACTCGAATGCAATCCCTCACACTAAGCATGCTTGTAGCGACAGTGGAGAGGAAAAACTCCCTGTAAACAGGAAGAAACCTCCAGCAGAACCTAGCTTGAGGTTTCTTCCTGGAGGAACCTTTGTCNAAGACGTTTTACTTCTTAACCAGAACGCTTTCTGAATTGAAAATGTCTGGAATAGGTTTGAGTTCCAGGCTTATAGATTGGCACAAAGAAACGTCTTGTTATGACTAAGAAAACATGCAAATTGAACCAAAAAACAGGCGAGGCCAGGTGAGATGCTCTGGTCCCCTGCATGGCGACGAGGTTTATGAAAGTGGGAAAGAGTCCACTTTATCGCTGCATTTTATATTTTTGAGAGCAGGAACCCCCTTTCTTTAAGGTTAGTTCTTCTCTCTTAACATAAATGGCTTCCGTCACACCCCTTTCAAACCACCTGCCTTCTTTGTCCAAAATGTGGACATACTGGTCCTCAAGCGAATGTCAATTCTTTTTCAATTCAGTTTATTAGCAGATATCACCTCAAGGCACTTTACAGTTCACCAGATTTTACAGTCAAATTGATTTTAAGTTTCTATCTAAGGAAAACCAGTTAATTGCATCGATTCAAAAGCAATCCCTCACACTAAGCATGCTTGTAGCGACAGTGGAGAGGAAAAACTCCCTGTAAACAGGAAGAAACCTCCAGCAGAACCTAGCTGGAGGTTTCTTCCTGGAGGAACCTTTGTCTTTAAGGTGTAGGTGGACAGCAGAGTCTTGTCCAGAGTAGGTAGCCCGTGTGTTGAGCCATGTGTCTGTGGAGAGGTTGGTTGTGCCGCTCTATAAGCCTGGAGCGCGAACCTGACTCCAGACTTTTGAATTGAGAAAGCGTCCTGGATGGGAAGCAAAACTTCTTCAAACTTGGAAAACAAAGTCCAGTGGATTGTTAACTTTTTATATTTTGTTGGAATGACTATGACCTGAATTTTCACCAGCATACAGTCTGAAATATCTAATTGAATTAAACTTTAAAAGCTGTCAGCTATCATATTACGAGAAGCAATTAATAAGTCTTGAAGTAAAAATCTTTTTTTTTTATTGCCAATAAAGTTGGAATAACATGACCTATGGGGTTTTAAAAAGGTTTTTATTGTTTATGGAGTAAAAAAAATAAAGATAAAATGAAACTATTACACTACAGTGTTAAATATAACTGCTCCGATAACATTTGGTCCCACTCCAAATTAGTGTGAAAATTACTCTATAGCCAGTGTCAACTTTTCTTAGCTAATTTTACTCATTTTAGTGTAAGAATCAGGAAGACCTCTCAGAGACTGGTGGGTAATCAACACAATTTAGTGTAAAAGTTACACTGCATGACTGTCGAATCTTTCACTGACTATTAACTCTGAATTTGACCAGATTTACTCTCGGTATAGTTGCAAATAGAGTAAAATAAGTTCACTGAATTTTTACTATGTTCTAGAATTATGTTACTTTGCATTCATAATTCACGACTATCTCATATTTCACTTATTTTAAATGCAAATCTGTTTTAATCATATCAGAATTAAAACTTAATAAAACTGATACGTTTAGGTAATTGATTATTTTGAAGTTGCCTCAAAATTACATTTAGCAGATAAAAACTAGGATCCTATCCTAATACAACACTAAATGTTACCTTATATTTAAAATCATAATTTAAACAAAATTAATAGGATCCAAAGGCTCCATCAGAGACTAGTAGTGATGAGTTGATGAGGCGTAATGAAGCGTTTGATACCAGGTGACTCAATACTGCCTTTAAAATCCATACAGGGAGCCTCTTTGACAGACAACTGACTCTGTTTGACCTATAAAATAAACATCATTTTGTGTTATATCATATTATTTCATATCTTGGCTTGAATTGAAAATATCTGTGATATTTTCAGATGCAGTCAAATAATGTGAACATATAAAGTGAACATGTGAATGAGGTTTATTGTGGAATAGGCTTTTTTCTTTATTTTAAAGAAGTACATTAAGAACAATCAGGTAACAGTCTGTTTGAAATCTATTTAAATTCAGATAAGTCGAGTGAGAGAGAAATAAAAAACAAACTAAAATCAATATGAGATCAAAATGGTCCCACACAGCAGCAGGCTGCTCCATATTTCTTAATGTATTAGAGGAACTGCAAAAGATTTGAATTTATTTTTTTTTTTTGCAAATGCATCTCATCCAGATTCACTTATAAACACAGTTTCTTGCATCAGAATTGGATGGAAACAGCTGCTGTGTTGGTGTGACGTTGAAACGCGCTGCATGACAGGGAGGTTTTCAGGTGGTCCTTTTAGTCTTTTTTTTAGCAGCCTGTCTGCACTGTTTGTGGAAATGTCACAATAAACCTAAAGCTATGAGGATTCTGATATGCTTACATCTTCTCTGGGACCTTCAATGAATTCATTCAATGAATGCAATTTAGTTTTTACCTGAAACAGCCAGCTTACTGCTAATTTGTCTCACTCAGGTGAGGCTCCTTTGAAGCATCACCTCAACCTTTTCAGCAGTTGAACAAAGAAAAGCAAAAGCAGGCAAAGTAAATATTTCAATAAATCTCCCTTAAAAATATTATCTTGAACTGCTTATTCTATTGTTTAACAGAATTCAAGATTGCTGTCAATAAATAAATACATGAAAAACAAAAAAAAACTGTCCAGCTGCAATTACATCGTTCCACCCCTAGAGGGCACCTCTACCACTTAAGGAACAGTTAAGTTAACCTGACAACATGTGAGTGGAGCTGGGCGGAGCGAGACATGCATCTGGCTGTTGTCAGGTTACAGTTAAGTAGCTTTGGCTGTTAACTGTTATAATAGAGCTTTCAAGCCTTTCTGTGTGTTTTTGTCTTAGTTTTAACTCCATGTTTCTACTCTGATCACTTCAGAGTTTGTTTTTAAGGTCGCTCCATATTTAGTTGGTTCATTTGTGTTGAGTTTCCTATTGCTTGTGTTCTGCTCCCTGTGCATTTGTTTATGTTCATTTTATATTTGTTTGTGTATTTTATATTAGTTTATGTTTGTGTTTGTAGACCGTCTCTGTGCTAGTTAGCCTCTTCCCCTCTGCTCTATTCCCCAGCGTCTTTCATCCATTTTGATCAGATTCACCTGGTTTCATTTGTTTCTCCTTCTCTTCAGTAATTCCCTGGTTTTTATTGTTCTCTGGTGCATCTTCCATGGTCCTTAACTCTGTTCCAAGGTTATATTTTTATCATCATGCTGTCCTTCTTGCAAACCATGAACTTCTTTATTTCCCTTCTGCAATTTGGACCCAACAAAAACTAATGGCAGATTTCCCTGTTTTGACGACACTTCTTCCAGGAAATCTGTGTCACTGTGTGTGAAATGCATGTGTGGTTTTTGAAGGTAGTACTTATAATATTTCAGTGATGATCTAATCTTCTGAAGCGCACCTGTAAGCACAATAGACTGAGGAGTCTCTAAAGAAAGTCTCTTCTTTTTTTCTAATCGGAACCAGCAGACAGCCATGGACAGAACATGCCTTCTTGCAGGGCTGTCGCCGGGCAGCAACAAGGTTCCAGGTTTGATTCCCGGCCTGGTGCTTTCTGTATGGAGTTTGCATTTTCTCCCTGTGCATGTGTGGGTTTTCTCTGGGTACTCTGGCTTCCTCCCACAATCCAAAAACATGACTGTTAGGTTAATCGGCATCTCTAAATTGTCCTTAAGTTTGAGTGTGTGTATGAGCCACACTATATATATATTATAACTATAAACCTTTACTTAAAAAGTGTCAAATCTATTCTATTCCCAGAATCCAGAGAAGTTTTTCATTTTGAAAGAACGATTTCAAGAGCCAACAGTTGAAGCAAGTATGTTTTATTAATAGTAGTAATACCTGTACATGATTTTTTTCTGTTTATAATCACCAAAATGGAGATTAAAAAAAAAAAA